GCAACCCCCGGCCCCTCCAGCCCACATTGGTCTTTACCGTCTCGCAGCAAAATATGGGGGGGGGAGGGGGGGGCGTTCTAAGAAAACCTGACCCACGCTAAACTCCCCCGCAAACTCGAGGTGCTGCTTAATCCCATTAGCAGGGTGTTAATTTAACAGCCATCCGGCGCTGCCGGGCACGGGGGGACCGTGCTGCCCGGCGGCCGGGGCGCAGGCTGCGGCTCTCGCCTCCCCCCTGCCCTTCTCGCTGGGTTTATTCGGTGTTTCACAACCCCCGGGGTTTGTAATGGCTCTTGCGGTCATTAACGTGATTTACTGAGGCTTTCCTCTAATTACCTCGCCCTCGAGCTATTAAATGCATGTAAGCAGCTCCGCGGGGACCGAGGCGCAGCTCCCCGAGGCCCGGTCCCGAGTCTCTCCGCCCCCTCCGGGGCAGGGTGGCCTGGGGCCGTCCCGGAGGGACGGAGCAGAGGGGGATGCTCGGGGCACCAGGCCGTGCCCCCCCACCCTGGCTCGCCCCCCACTTCGGATTTGATTTTCCTATCGTTAAGCACCAGCTAGTCCTGGCCCTGCTCTGGCTCGGGGGGACACGGATCCTTGCCGGCTCCAGTCCCGGTGCAACCCCGCTGCGCTCTCGCTCCCACCGGGGCCGAAGCATCTCCGGTACCTGCACCGGGAGCGGAGCATCTCCGGTACCTACACCGGGAGCGGATCATCTCCGGTATCTCCGGTACCTGCACCGGGAGCTGAGCGTCTCCGGTATCTCCGGTACCTGCACCGGGAGCTGAGCGTCTCCGGTATCTCCGGTACCTGCACCGGGACCGGGGCCGGCCGAGTGCGGGCACAACGGGCTGAGCTGCCGCGGGGCACGGCCGGGCCGGTCCTGGACAAAGCGGAGCGGCCCTTTCCCCCCGCGTTTGGCCGGGGAGAAGCCCCGACGGAGGAGAGAGGAGAGGGGCTTTATTTCAGCCCCACCGGGGGCAGCTGGGGAAGGCGGCCCCGGCGCTCAGAGCCTGTTTTAAAAGTCAAATCGCTTCGGGTGCCGGAGCCCGTCCACCTCCCCGCGAACAATGCGCTGCCCCGGGCCCACCTCCCCCTGCCGTCGCCCGGCCTTGAGTTTTGGAGAAGGGAGGGGGAAAACCCAACCAGATCCTCCCCTCCTCGAATATCTGGGGGCCGTCCCCCCGGCGGGGACCGGGAGCGGCTGGAAAAGCAGAGAAGACCCGGGTTGAAATAATCAGGAGCGATTTATTCCCCTGGAGTGACAGTTCTTTTGAGCGGTTGCCGAATGGCAGTTTCTGTCTTTCTGAAAGCTTTTCTTCCAGATTCTGTTCAGATTAGGCTGGGGAGATGAATGAGGCCATTATCCAGCCCAGTAGCTATTCTGAAATGCCAAATTAATTACCAAGGACTA